GTTGCCTTGGCAATGGCGGGCTGTCTCAGCAATGGCAGGTTGCTTTGGCAACGTTGGGCTGCCTCAGCATTGGCCGACTACCTCCGCCGTGGTGGGCTGCCTCGGTAATGGCGGATGCCCCTCCCCTACAGAGCTGGACCGTCCCGGGTTCAGCTGCACTTGCTGCGAAACTCTCAATCCAGAGTTTCTGGTTGCTGTTCTTTTGTGGGGGTGGGACCAACCGAGCCTGATCGCCTGGCTCCCTGCCTCAGAGCCCTTTTTAAGTTGGTGTTCCAGTCGCCTGTTGAAGAGGCACCGGGGTCTGTTTTCCCCTGCGGCCACTCACTGCGCTGGCTTAAACAGCGGCACTGAGGTTTGTGGCACTTTTTTTTTTTTTTTTTTTGCCCTGGAATCTACTGTCCTGGTTCCCTGCTCAGTCCCCTTTTTAAACAGACGAATGGACGACTTCCCGTGGCTCCAGTCGCCAGCCAAAAGGGCACCTGGACCGGTGTATTTTGTACGGAGAACCACTGCTCTGGGGCGCCGACAAAGCAGCCGCGCGGGGCAAAGCAGCGGCGCCGGCCGGCACAGCCACGCTGGTGGAAACAGCCGTGCTGGTGACCTGTAGAGCTCCTCCGCCTGGGAATTTCCTAGTCTGTGGGCAATAAAAATGCGGCGTCCACTCACTCTGCGCTTTCACTGGGAGCTGCAATCCTGAGCTGTTCCTAAACGGCCGTCTTGGATCCTCCTCTCGTGAAGAAGCCATAAATTCTTTTTTTTCCTTTTTTTTTGAGACGGAGCTTTGCTCGTTACCCAGGCTGGAGTGCAATGGCGCGATATCGGCTCATCGCAGCCTCTGCCTCCTGGGTTCAAGCAATTCTCCTGCCTTTTCCTCCAGTAGCTGGGACTACAGGCATGCGCCACCATGCCTAGCTAATTTTTGTATCTTTAGTAGAGATGGGGTTTCACCATGTTGACCAGGATGGTCTCGATCTCTTGACCTTGTGATCCACCCGCCTCGGCCCCCCAAAGGCCATAAATTTTTAGAGAAATTGACTAGTGAAGTCATCTGAGTCTGGACTTTATTTAAGGGAAGATTTTAAATTAGGTTTATTCTTTAAATGCTAGATAATTATTTTTATTTATTTTGGTTTTAATATTGGTATATTTTACAAGGAATTTGTTCATTTTATTAAAGTTAGTTTTACTGCCATAAGCCTGTTCATGTATTTTTTTTCTCATCTTTTAATGTCTTAACAATCTTTAATGATTTATCTTTTTTCGTTTCTGACAGTGGTAACTTATGTGTCTATTCATTATTTCCTTTCTTTTGCTTAATTTTTTACTATTTTTTTGTTTGTTTAATTTCCTGTTCTATTTCTGGCTTATAAGATACAAACCTAAATCATTTAATCATATGTATTTTAAACCTACTTTAAAAATACATACTCGGCTGTGCACAGTGGCTCACGCTTTTAATCCCATCACTTTGGGAGGCTGAGGCGGGCCGATCACTTGAGGTCAGGAGTTTGAAACTAGCCTGACCAACGTAGCAAAACCGTGTCTCTCCTAAAAATATAAAAATTAGCCTTGTGTGGTGGCACACGCCTGTAATTCCAGCTACTTAGGAGGCTGAGACAGGAGAATCACTTGAACGTGGGAGGTGGAGGTTGCTGTGAGCTGAGATAGCGCCACTACACTGCAGCCTGGGTGACAGAGTGAGACTCTGTCTCAAAAAAATATGTATGTATTTGAAGCAATGTATTTTTTTCTAAAATTCCACCTTAATCTTGCTTTGGCTGCAGCTCACATATTTTGATAGTGTTCTATTTTCATTGCTGTTCAATTCAAACTGTTTTCTAAATTCTGTTGTAATTTAGTCTTTGGCCCATGGGATATTTAAAAGTATGTTACTAAATTTCCAAACATTTGGGAATTTTACTTATCTTTTTGTTACTGGTTTATATTTTAATTTTCCCATGGTTGGGGAACATACTGTGTGATTGTAGATTTTTTGAAATCTCTTGAGATTCATCATTACTTCTAAAGTGGTGTTGTATCTTCTTAGGATTTTCATTTGTGTTTAGGAGGAGGGTGAATTTAGGTAACCTAGCCATATTGGCAATGGAAGTCTCTGTAGTGGTTTTAAGTTAACCTTATTTTATATAATAAAACAGAATTTTACTTTAAGTCACTAAAGAAAAGGAAACTTCAGTTTTTGGTGCTGTGTTTATTTATTTATTTTTTTAAAGTTTTAAAAGTACTGTATAAGAGTTTGAAAATGTGAAAGAAATCGAAAAAGAGAGGCCGGGCGCGGTGGCTCAAGCCTGTAATCCCAGCACTTTGGGAGGCCAAGGCGGGTGGATCACAAGGTCAAGAGATCGAGACCATCCTGGTCAACATGGTGAAACCCCG